GGTGCCAAACTCACACTTGCTCACGGCCGTGCGTGGAAATGTACTCCGAGGCCGCGCACGCGACACAGGCACGCACGTGTCCTGGACGCACTTGCGGCAGAGGCGGTCGTGCTGGCGCGTGGGTTCGCAAAGCGAATCTCTTTCCTCATCCGGGCCGCACTGCGTGACGGGGCGGCATGACTCGGCCTGGCCGTCAACGGACTTGAAGGTGGCATCAAGCTCGCACAGGCTGCGCACGCGGTCGCTCGTTGGGGTGGACTCGGCCGTCTCCTCCTCGCTGGCGTCGCACGTGGTGACGGGGAGGCAGGGCACGCCCTGGCTGGCCAGAGACAGCCTTGTACGTGCCCTCCGGGCACTCGTCGCAGACACGCAGTCGCTGATGAGGAGTGTCATGGCCTGCACCTGCTCAAACCCGGGCGCGCACTCTGTGACGTCGTTGCACGGCGTGGCGGGGTCGCTGTCGTGGTCGTGGTGGGTGCCTGCGTGGTAGGTGAACCTGGAGCAGGAGCTGTCGGAGCTCGCCTCCGTGTAGTGGGTGGTTGGGCACATGTGGCTCGCAACCCGTGGAGCCGTCACTGTCCGAGTCGATGGTGCCGGCCGGGCAGTCGTGACACACGCGGTCCGATGAACAGCGGGTTGGCGCGGCGACCTCCTCCTGGCCGCGCTCGCACTCCTCAATGGGCTCGTACTTGCTGCCGCCAACGGATGGGGAGAACTCCGTCACGCCGTCGCATGGCCGACAGTCGGCTGAGTCGGCGTCGTAGACAAGGATGAAGCCAGCGCTGCACTCGCACGTGTCTGTGCAGCCTGGGCAGGAGCGGCGTGCCGCGTAGGCGTCCATCTGGCGAATGGTGGCGTGGATGCCATCCTTGCCCTGGCCAGAGCAGCACACTTCAAGCACCACGTCGAGCTGCTCGTCCGTGGGTCGGCATACACCATCTTCTGAAACAACTGCGTGATGAGCTTGTTGCAGGCGAGCGTGTCACAGGAGCAGAGGCGGTCTGTGGTGAGCGTGGGCGGGATGGTCTCGATGAAGGGCTCCTCGCACACGCTGGTGGGGAAGCACGAGGCGCGGTCCGGCAGCGGCTGGTACTCCATGCCAAAGGGTGCAGCTCACGCACGCGGTGGTCGCACACGGCGTTGCCAGAAACGTACTCCTTCTAATCCTGGCTTGCACTCGGTCCAGGGAGAGCAGCCGGCGTCGGAGGATGCGGAACATGGGGTGGAGGCCCAGGTGCCCATGCCACACGTGGTGCATGGCACGCAGCGGTGGTCCTTGGCGTAGTAGTCGAGAGGGCAGTGGGCAATGCGCGACTGATGAGGTTGCCGTCGCAGAGGAGGCAGTTGATGGCGTCTGGTGGAGTGGCATTCAGCACACGTGTTGTATGGCATTCAGAACACGTGTTGCTGAGCTCATACTCGCCGTTGTCGGGACACTCGCTGATGCAGCGGCCGTGACTGGAGGGGAGGCTTGGGTCCACAGGCCGTGCACTCATCGATGCCTGGAGGGGAGGGAGTGGGAGTGGAGGGGGAGGATGGCGTGAGAGGCAATAATGACAACACTGTTGTGCGTATTGAGGAACCGCGCACCGCTTCATCATCTCAGGGACATAACACTCATAAGAGACTTCGAGGACACACACACACACACACACACACACACACACACACACACACACACACACATACACACACACACACACACACGCACACACACACACACACACACAAAGCCAGCATAAGTCAACATACCATTGGCCCATGATGAAGCTATCTTTGAGGACCCGCCGCACGGTGTTGTTCACCGTGTCGATTGTCGTGCCGTTGTGCTGCACAACCTGCTCCAAGCAGCCGTTTGTGGTGAAGTATGTCTCTCCGAGCTCCATGTCCGCGCCACCGTTCAGCGTCTTCACGACAGGGTCGACAGGGTCGCGCGCGTGCTTGTTCGCGTTGACCACGGTTGCAAATCGCACAGCAGTCTGTTTCAATCGTCACCATGCCACGCTTCCACTGCCCGCGCACGACGTCGTTGAGCAGCATGTTGCTCGCACACGAGGGCACGCCGTTGGTGCTGGCGTACGAGCTCATGACAGCGAGCGCCTTTGCTTGCACTGCACATGGCAGAGGAGAGCGGGATGAAGACGAGAAAGTGGGAGGTGAGGGGGTGGCACAGGCATGGTGGCGTGGACGAACTGACAAGAACTTCTGATGCGAGGTACACGAGCCGACACACACACACACAAACACACACACACACACACACAAACACACACACACACACACACACACACACACACACACACACACACACACACACACACACACACACACACACACACACACGCGCGCGCGCGCGCGCGCACAGACCTCGGTGTCCCAGAGGTCAAAGGTGGAGATGTTCCCGTTGAATGCCACGCGGTTTGTCTCGACCGAGTACGCGTCAAAGTGCTTGAGACCTAAACGCGCGATGGAGCGGTGACAGCAGTGTAAATGACACGACCACCATCAAGTGTGCAAATGAAGCAGCGTCGCTGCCATGGTTGCGAGCGTTTGCACACGCACATGTGTGAGTGTGGATGCGGGTGCGTACCTGCTGCCATTTTTCTTCGTACTTCTTGTCCGAGCCATCCTGGCAGCCGGCCACGGAAGCAGCAGCGTACTCGCCGCTCAAGAAGGGGTCTCAGAGGTTGAGAGGGGTGCAGTGAAGGTGAGGAGGGTGGGCCTGCAAAGTGAGTGAGTGTGTGGGTGTATGTGAAGGGGGGTTGGGGGCGTGGGTGCGACTGGTGTAGAGTGATGGCATGTGTGTGATGTATGCACCAGTATCTCAACACGTGATGAAGGGGGCACCTGTGAGTCCGATTTTTTTCAAGACGCTGCCACCCCTGTGCTAGTTGACATTGTTGACGGCGCGCATCTCCGAGGAT